CGATTCGGAACTGCTGTATGATATACGATGGAACTTCTTGTTCCTATGTTTTGTTTTTAAGTTATGTGGTTATTTTTGTTAATGTGTTTATGTGTTCTGTTGATGTGCTTATGTGTACAAAATAAAAATTCAAAAAAAAATAATAAAAAAAAAGAAATGCTTCTCATAACAGTGCAGAGACCTTATAAAGGACAAGTTCTAACTGACATAAAGAATCCAAAGAAATAGGCTGATTTTTTTAATAGCGAGCAAAGGAGCTCAAACTTTCCCTATTTAAACTGGCTTCCCTCTCCCTTCAATATAAAAGGAAATTATATTCCAAGGGCCTATTGTAATTAGTTTATTCTTTGACATAAGGCTGAGTTTTAATTGCTATTTTGACTTCAAGTGCAATTGACGCCACTTCAAGTGTCACTGATTCCATTAGACATTGATTCTAGAAAAAAAAAGACATTCTGGGGTACAGAACCACAGATACAAACTTGGTGGAGACAACAGTTTTTTTAAAAAAAAACATGCTTGAGGCCTAGGAAACCAAGAAAGCATGACAAATAAGACAAATGGGACTGACTTGACCCTAATTCACTGGAGTCTAAAAGGAAAAGAAGAGAAAACTCAAGTTAGGAGATCATGATTATGTATTATATCTATAATATCAATCAGATAGAACCATAGTTAAACTTGTGGGATGTTCCTTCTAACTTGGACCTCCTCAAAGAGTTTACATGCAGGGGTCAAAGCTGAAGAAGTGGAAATTAGCACTTTCAAACACAGAAAATAGTGCTTATTCTGACATTGTAAATTCAAAGTAGTAGAAAACAGGATAATGTAAAAAAAAAATATGCATTCTGCTATCAAGTTGCAGATTTTTCTCCTCGTAGAGTATATGTGAATGAGATTAATGGTCATAAGAAAAGTATCAGTGTGTCCAAAGAAACTGGAATGGTAGCTAAAATATATCTTAGGGGGGGAAAAAATATCAGACCACATCTTAAGAGAGCACAGATTTTGCCGTTGGTTATTCAGCAAAGGAATATTCCTTACTTTTTCACCAGGAACGCCAATTGGACCTTGTGGGCCTGGGAGCCCCTGTGGAAAACATGAAAAAACACATCATAAGAAAACTAAACACTCACATAACTACTTTCTCTAGAGTTGTATCATTAAAAAGAATCCTTTCCTCAGGAACTCCTTCTTATAAGAGCCGAGGTGGAGCAGTGGTTAGAGTCCTACTGTCCCCATTTATTTATACTCATTTCCTTTGTTCAGGTCCATGATTATACTTATACCTGTTATCTTGTACATGTTTGACAAACTAAATAAACAAAATAAAATAAATACAATATTCAAACTTTTCATATTTGACTCTCCTGAATGTTTCCTTGGTGGCAAAAGCTGTCAAACAAGGGCTTACCTGTGGACCTGGGATACCTTGCTGTCCATGTGGTCCTGGTTCCCCTTGTGGACCCTGTTGCAATAACAAATGCACAGGAGAATATTAGTCTGTTTGTTATTCCACATCATCACTTGAAAAACACGCAGAGTTTACAGAAAAGGTGGAGGAATTATATATTGATTTCTCTTTTTTTTGGTTCCATGGAGACTTCAAATCATAATTGGCAGTATAGATCGATTAATCTGTGTCCTCTTTAGCACCCCAACTGGTGTGTGGGTAGATAGACAGAAGACTCATACGAAGGATAAAATGCAGTTTTTACCCACAATATCTGAGGAACATACAAATAAATTTAAAGCACTGAAGACATGAATAGGAGAATTATCAACTTGAAGGTTGTTATTTTGGATTTCTTTGGGGGAAAATGTATTTGTAACACGCTCTACATGGGGCTGCCCTTGAAGAGTGTTCGAAGACTTCAGCTTGTCCAGAA